CTGATTCATAAACCACTTCAGCTTTGGACCAGCTCTACCAGAACAAGGCGCACAGGGAGTGCCTGATGTGCTTCCGGAACAACTCACCCTCATGGACTATTCCCAGGGATCTCTGAGATCTCATTTTCTGAAGAGATCTTTCTCCAAAACCTCCATGAGGGAAAGGAGCCTTAACCCACAGGGCAGAGCTGGGAACTCCATGGTTTGCACACCACAGCAGGAAATGCATCAAAGCAGCGAAGGGAATAATGTGCTCTGGCATAAACGCCTGATGTCTTACTGTAAATAGAGTAAGGAAACAAATACTGACAGCAAGGATTTATAAGGGTTTCTGTCCTTTCAGGTGAGAGACAGAAGAGCCAAAATTCCTACATGTGAATCTGCCTTATTGCCCCATCTAAAAGACAGGACAAACAGACATGCCCCAGCCCACTGCAAGTGCTCCGAGCCTTACTTGCAGGGTTTTTGGGGTAGTTGCTGTGAATTTAGGTACGATCAGTCCCCAAGCGCAGTAAAAGATTTCCTGTTATTCTTGAAGATAATTCTATTCATCCTTCTGGCAACAAAACAAAAGTAGAAGAAAGTTATGGCTCAGGGTAGGCAACAGTTGAGGTTTCCTGTTCTTCTCACTGGGAATGAGCAGTAAATGAGCTTTTCTGTGGAAGAAAACAGAAAAACAATTCCACACACACACAAATAATTCAGAGCTGTCCAAAACCAGATCTAGAAAGAACTGCATTTCTAATGAAAACAACACATATCTTTAAGCCATGAACTTAAAAATCACACAAGTATAGTCAAATAATACATTTCTGTCAGGATTTTCAAACATGTTCAAAAACTCATTGAGTAAAAGATTACTTTTGAGCAGCTACCTGTGAACTTCTAATCACATATGAGATGTCCTTGTTTCATTATTCAAAAAAATCAACAAGAAAGAAATTCCACATTTTCCCTTGGGAATTCAGCTTCACTGGAGAACATGTAAAAATGCTATTTGTTCCTTTTGCTAAGCAAGGTCAAGCTGCTCTACACCACCAAAGTGAACCATCTTCCTCTGAGAAGAACAAACGTATGTCTTTTGCCCTAAAAAAACCCAGGCAATAACAGTATTGTAGCTTGCTTATGGTAGCTTGCAACGATACCAAGACATCCCAGTGATGCCAGAGGTGATGCAAGTACTCTGCAAGTACTCTAAACCACAGGGTAAAACATATCAAATTCACGGTTGGGTGAACTCCTGCCAGTGTCAGCCACCCAAACTCAAATCCATGAGTAGTAACACATTGTGAATACGAGCCTCAGCTGTAGAGAGGCTTCAAACCTCCTCAAGCTGGGACCGCTTTGGTTAAGGTAATCCTGTGGGAACAGAGATTTCCCAACCCCTCCTTGCTGCAGACTGGAGATAGCACAGCAGGTCTACCACCAACTACTAAAATGCCTTTTTTTTTCTTGCCAAGGAGGAGAACAAAAAAGAACACAACCATTCCCTTAAATTCTCCAAATTAAACTAGTACTTTCAAAGGTCAAAAAAGGGCTGCGAGAAGGATTCACTGGCATTCTGCACGCAGCCATTAGAACAACTGAGGTTGCACACTGCCTGCTCCTGTCCACAGGAAGACCAGGCTGAGCTGCACCATTCACAGCGTGCAGCTGCTACCATGGAACGGAATTCATACTGAAATGCATCCAAAAAAGAAGGACACAGACATTAAAAGAGAACCGGAGAGCTGGGAAGGTAAATGTGTTTGAAAGACATGACCCACCTCTTTGTAATCGCCCTTGTGATAAAGATGACTGACATGTCCAAGCAAATAGTTCCGGTCTGCTGTATGGAGCTGGTAAATGCTAATCAAAGGGTCAAGAAGATTAGCTGGGCACTGGGCTAGTATTCCCAGCACACGGGCCTGCAGCCTTTTCAGCTTGATGCCAGACTGAAAAAAATGATAATAATAAAAGCAAATCAAACACAGATTTAGTAGAGATGGCTACAATTCAACGGCAGTTGAAAATGCAGCTTGTTTAAACAGGGGAAAAAGCCAGTTCCTTGGGAAGGGATTCTCCAATTTCCCCATGGAGTCTGCAAGCAGAAATCAGAACAATATGATCCACATTTTTTTCACAGCATCCAATTTAAAAACATGAAATGTTTGCGGGATAATTCTGGATAAGGCACATGGCCCTGTGCAAAAGTAAAATATGACCTGGAAAAATGCCTCCTTTACTAACAAAGCTCTGCAGAAATCCTCCCGTCTCGTTCCCAGCAAAAAATGTTTGAATCCAGCAACTCCCCTCAAGGGAGATCTCACCTATCAGGCATAAGAATTCAATTTTCATTGCCAGGCTCACTCCTGGGAACAAGAAGGGCAGGAAAAGCAAAGCATCATCAAAAGACACGCAGATACAAGTATTAATCCTTGTTTGCCTACATGAGCATTGTCTTAGGACACAGGAATTGCAGTGCCAGTGGCCCTTCTCTCTGCAGATACTTTCAGTGGCAGAGCTCAGCATCTAAAAAGAGCCATTTGGAAAAATTGGGAACTGAAACAACACAAATATAGAAGTATTTTGCAGTTCACAGCCAGAAGCATACAAAAAAGGGAAAATCTCAGTAGGACACAATATATGAAGGCAGAAAGAATGGTAAACATTGGGAGGTACAATCTGATGACACAACGCTACAAAGCTAATCATTCAGCTGCTGAAAAGTCATTACTGCTCCATTTTCTGCATTCCCCATGATAAAAGCTCCCCAGCATATGGCAGGAGTTAAGCAATCGTACAGTAACTGGCTTCTATTTGCAGAACTGGAAGAATATACAGAGTGGGTTACTGCAATTGGTTTTATCCTGACAGCAGGGATGTGAGTTCCAGTGGGAAAGCCTCCAGCTCAGCAAAGGCTGCGAGACCAATGCTTGATTAAAGTGGTTTGATCTGGAGAGATGGAAATCCCAGCTTGGAAGGGGAAACAGCTTGTAACACTATTTCATTCTCAGGCCAGCATACAACAGATAACATTTCAGTATGAATTTCACACCTCCTCACGCCATGGTTGTATGAGACTACAGGGAAGACATCGGACTATGGAATAAAGTGAAACTGGGGACACTTGAAGAACATGAAAATCAGTTGCCCTCTCCTTTCTCCTGGCTCTCTTGCTCTCTCTTTTTCTAACCTGTTGAGCAGCAGGATGCTCTTTTATCCAAAGCTGCAGCTCCGTGGTGATGTAATACCCGAGGGAATGCCCTTTCCCTTTCCAATCACCACTGCCCTCCAGCATGTCCAGGAGTCCTGTCAACGGGTCCTGCAGTCCTGCGAAGCCCCGCCTGATTTCTTCCTTGAGCTGCTGAGATACAAACCCACATTGTCATGTACAAAGAGATTAGTGAATCCTCCCTCCCCCCAGCTGAACACAAAGCTTTATTTTTTTTAATTTAATCTATTCAGAGAGGTAACTGTTGCTATTCAGCCACCATCCGCGCCTCCAGTGACTTTTCATGTCATTACAGATTCCTTCATGGCTCACTGCACCTCAAACCCAATGGGAAAAGCAGCAATTGTCCACACTAATTATCCCATAAAGACAGAGAAGTTGTTCCATGGGGCAGACAAAGGGGCTTGGGATTTGGGGGAGGGGGAGAAAAGAAGGGAGCTGGAGAAAGGGGTGTTACTGGGAAAATGGCAATACTGAAGGTATATAACCCAGCTTAAAAACCTGCTTATCTTCTAACAGACCTACAAGTAATAAAGCACATAAACCCCTCCTCCTCAGTTTTGTGCCACAAACTTTCATATTTGACCTTACACCCACTTCAGTCATGATGCAAAAACGCTCTTCACCAGAACAGGAATATCTGTGAATATTGAAATAGTTGGATTTTACACACAAGATAAAAGGAAAGAAATGATTTTACAATTCTATGAAATACCGGAGTTTGAACTCTGCCATCCTGCAAACCCTGCTCCTTCCCTCCAAACCTACCTGAGCTGGGTACTTTCTGCTGTTTGCCCCATGCCCCTGCACGCCAGGCACTGCCCATCTCCAGGAGTCTAAAGGCCGTACACAGTGGCTCGGAACATGAGAAATCTCCAGGCCATAAACCTTAGGAATCCCGGGGTGATGTGTTTAGAAATGTGAAGGAATTGGCCACTCACTTTGTGAATGTTAATAGGCTACTTACTACCCATCTGGTAGAAGTGATAAATTAGCAGTACTGAGCAATATCTTGATAATGTTTACATTAGAAGTAGTTTCCAAGGAGCTTGGGGGGTTGACAGGGTGAAGAAGTGGCATCCTCCAGTCCCCACACAGCACCTTTCACTGCATGGAGCATGTACTGGCGTGGAGCAAGGCAAAAACAGAGACAGAAAACAAGAAATCACTATGAGCAGCTGCTCTCTCTTTTCTGGCTAAAAAGCAAAATCCCAAAGATGCTCGTTCCCGCCAGCAGCCAGCACTTGTAATTTACTGTGCGATGGCCTCAGTCGCAGGTTCCAATGGAAACAACGTTTGGAGAACATGGAAAACAAAAGAAAACCTACAGAAAATCTGCCAATGAATTTGTTCTATTTTAGCCATGGACACTATTTACTGGAAGGCAGCTCTTTTCCACAGTGTCCTTCATGTCTGGAAAAACCACAAAACCCATCATTTACGACAGAAACTGTTTCTTTCTCACTAGATTATCAAACACAGTATGAAAAAGCTGATGACTAACAAAGATGGGACTTCAGATAGCACATTTCTCCCTGTAAGTATTTTTCCCTGTGGCAAGAATTCGCGATGTTAAACACAGGGCTCCAACTTCACTGCAAGATTCAGAAGAAAGGAAAGGCGAGCTCTTATCCAACCACAAATATCCAACACAACAGCCAAGGGAAAACAAAGCAACTCGCCAACTAAATTGCACTGTTTCTAAATAGCCTCTCTTCCCCCCAGACCCCCGCCAAGCCCCACTTCAGCACATTCAGACTGAACAAGAGCTTTCACCACACTGCTCAGCTCCTCCTTGGGCTGGAGGCAGAGCCCAAGCTTTGGCAGGATGGGCTCCAGCAGACACCAGCTCCTGTGAGAGCATGAGCCAGCCAACACTGACACAACTGCCAGGAGCACTGACTGCTGTTACCTACACCGAGCCTTGACTTCACACCAGCTAGACTTTGTCAAGCAGGGAAAAGCCTTCTTCAACACTTCCAAGCAATCTGAAGGCCTCAGCTATGGTCTGGACAGTTTGGGGGAGGGGGAAAACAAAGAAAAAAAGGCATGAGACACCTAAATGGGTGA